TGAGCATTCTGCCAGTTTCAGCTTCTTTGCCTACATACCGCTTTAATTTTGGCGTCAAGTGCTGCATGAACTAACAAGTACGCCGTGGTGAACGGCATTGGGCTGGCGAACCAGTTCACACTTGACGAGCTCATGATTTTCCTGGGCATTCTATTCTTCATGGCAACGAACGATAAAGGCGAGTACGCAAATTACTGGGGTCTACAAGCGGAGGATCTAATTTTTGGTGGTGTTACAACTTTGCTTAATGGCATCATGACGCTGCATCGCTTCAAGCTACTGCGGCGATGTCTGAGCTTCAATGCGATCCCTACCACACTAGATCAAGATGCTGCAGCTCGCATCCGACCTCTTCTAAACCTGCTAAAGATCACTAGTGGTCAGTATATTCGCGTTGGTCGAGATGTTGCGCTAGATGAAGCAAGTGTTGCGTGTCGTTCGCGTCAAGGTCGCCACATGATCGTGTATAATCCCATGAAGCCTACTGGGAAATATCATTTCCGGCTGTACATGGTGTGCTGCTCTACTACGTGGGTCGCGCTGAATTACAAACTTCACTGCAACCGAAGCGACATCTTGGACAGACTGAATGGTGTAGTTGACCACGTTGAAGCGCAAAACCTGCGAGAGGAGCTGGAGGAAGTATCTAAAATCAGACAGCACGTGTTGGAGGTAACAAGACCGCTATTCGGAACAAATAGGGTTGTCAACATGGACAACTATTATACGTCCGTGCGGCTTCTCCAGGAGCTCCGATTGAAAGGCCTCTATGGTCGCGGCACTATCCGTGCCAACAGCAAACATTTCCCAGGTCACACTATTCTTCACAAAGACGACTGTACCCGAGGGGACTATCGCCAAGCTGTCTCGCACGATCACAGCATGCTTGCAGCGTCATGGTGCGACGGTAACGTGGTCAACCTTGTGTCCAATGCGGACTCAACGAACATTACAACTATCACCCGCACGGTTGGTAACGAGAAGAAGTCGTTTCCAGCTCCAGAGTGCGTCGCTCAGTATAATACCAATATGCAAGGTGTTGATCGCCTTGATCAAATACGCGGGCGGTTCTCTACTGCAGATGGTCATTTGTACAAACGCTGGCACAAGAAGTTGGCGCTCGCGCTCATCGATGTGGCGCGCTCCAACGCGTATCTTACGCGACGTTTGGTACAGGCGGAGCCAGCAACGCGTGATCCCCATAGAAAGTTTGTGATGGAGCTAGTTGGTGAGCTTCTCAATGGACAATGGAAGAATGCACCCAGCGACGGTCGCATGCTGTACAGCGGAGAATTGGGTGACGGAGGAGAAGGAGACCAACTCGACACGCCCTCTTCCCAGCCCTCTCCTAGTGTAGTTGCTGTGCTCCCGACAACTGCATGTACTTCCGTGGCTTCGAGGCAAATTCATGCCGAGAAGAGCAGAAAGCGGCGCCGCTGTATTGTTTGCCGATGGGAGGGACGATATCCTACCGAGGTAACCAACTATTACCTCACGCATGGTGTCTGTTTGTGCCGAGTTGTGCACGACCGCCCCGCCAAGCCATGGATGTGTCCGTCGACGACTTCAACATGCTGGGATAAGTTCCACCAATTCTACTACCCTAACGCATTGTTTACAGATAAGGGAAATGTGAGGCGACACTCCAAACTCGCCAAGTCGAAGGATGCGCACGAGCCCAGGTCTCAAGTAGCAAGGCGGTCTGCTACCGCTCGCCAAATTGCGTACGGGGCAGATCTCGGAGGTGCCCTCGCTCACGCACTTGACAACGAAGGCGATGATGATACACAGGGTCTTGCTGCTTTCGGGGTTAGCGGTAATACTCCGCCAGGGTTGGTTGCGTTTGGCAGTGGCAATCTTTCGACTGGACTTGTTGCGCCTGGACCAGACGGCGACAGCCGTTTGGATGATAGGCCTGAAAGTGTGTTGGCTAGCAGACTTAGTGGTGCCCGTCGTGATGTTCGCGAAATTGGATGCACTAGTGAACGTGGTGGTGAAGCCCGCCGACGTGGCCGTGGTGCCGTTCTCACAGGCGGCGAAAACACACACGAACTTGATTACGGCGGCGGAGCTCCCAGACTTGCCATAGACGACGAGCGCGGACTTGGCCGTGACGACGCGCGCAGACTTGGAGACGGGGGGCTCGGACTTGGTGGTGCCGCTGGTGCAGCTGGTGTCGGCGGCGCACGTAGCCTTGGTGACCCTAGCGGAGTCGGTGGCAGGTTAAGTGCTTCTGCTTGCACAGACAGCGAAGATTGGCGCGGGCTTGGTGGTGCAGCACATACAGTTGGTAGCCGTGGCGCTCGCCGACTTGTCAGCGACGACGCGCGAAGACATGGAGGTGGTGATGATCACAGACTTGGTGATGGCACCCGCGGACTTGGCGGTGCGAGTGGTACAGTCAGTGACGGCAACGCTCATGAGCCCGGCAGTGCTCACGGAATCAATGGTGACTCGCATGACGTATGGGCTACTGCTACACTCGGACGTGATGATACTGCACCTAGCCAGGTTGCTGCTGCCGCACGCAGACTGGGTGGCGAAGCTGCATTTGCTCTTGGTGGCGGCACTCATGAGCATCGAAAAGACTCTGATTAGAAGCAAGTATGAAATAGCAGAATGGATCAAAGTTTCTTACGGTATATGTAAATAGGATGAGGTGTAGCCTTCCAGCTACATTGTACTTCTAGTTGATGATCCAGTTTCCAACTCTTGCAGTACGGCTCCGAGCACGATGATCGATGTCTAGAGCAGAAGAGCGACGTTGAAACTATCACCCGTGCCTCTGGCATTGCGCTTAGCTCTCGTGAAACAATCAGCTTAGCATCTTCTTCAAATAGAAAGATGTTAGCAAAGACAATGGTGGCTTCGCAAATGGGAGAATGCCGTGACATCGAAACATCTCTTACATCGACTTGCTTGAGCAGCACCTTACTGAGCCGTGGGTACTGCTTGCGTAGCTGCTGCATGCAACGCCGTCCAAGGGAGACGAGGTCCCTTCGCACCTCGATCCCGATGCACGTTCTGACTTTCGTTGTAAGTGCTACCTGTGCAAGCACGTTGCCAACACCAGCTCCAACGTCAAGGAAGACGTCAGCTTCGCCGAGCAGTCCGACGGCAGCAAGTAGAAGGGTGACACCGGACGGCAGCACCTCACCAGCATTGTCATATGTGCGCCCAGCGGGCTGGCGAACGTCGTGAGCGCTTATACTTCCGAAAATTATATCCACGGCTTCGGCAGCTTCAGTTGAGTCCAGATTATCTCCACAGCCCCCAACACCAGCACCTACACACACAGGTTAGTATTTGCCGACGTCATTTGTGAATCAAACAATCCGAGACTCACCTGAAGCGCTTTTCGCCTGAGTCACCTGTGGTTGACGGCATCCCCCGCAATCTCGCGCAATATAGCCGCCTGCGGGTCCTGTATCCTCACCTCTGCAGTCTTGGTTTCCCTGATCCACGTCGTCTGTCACCTGACTGCCTCCGGCGGCGCTCCCATGCGTATCGCCACCAACTTATCGTCATCAGTTTCACGAAAGGCATGCAAATATCCCCAAAACAGACAAACCTGGCATGCGGCGATCGCCGCCGAGAAGTAGAGAATTTGACGGAGTAGCAGAAGGTCGGCATGCTGGTTTTACGACTTGCTGCAAAATGAGGAGTGGTGGTGGTGGTGACCTCAGCGCCCCGAGAAGACGCCTTGATGGCATGCCGCGGAGAAAACATGGCGGAAAGCCACTAATCGCCTTTCCGTAGGTCCGCTTGAGGCTAGCCAGCCGAAGCCGCAGTTGACGTGCCGGCCGCTTGGTCTGCATTCGGCGGGCCCCGTAGGCCCATGTGATTCGTAAGCCCTCCCTTTCGAATTGGAAGGCGATCTGCACTAGCAGCTTATCTTCAGTGTCTGTGAAGGTAGTGCGCATTAGTCTTGAGTACACTATAGAAAAATGGGAGGTCGGATGGGTGCATTCGTCTTGCCTTTTGTAGGTTCTGGTGACTGGCTGTCAGGCGATTGACCGCTAGATCCATGGTACGACCGCGTAGAAAGGGCCGATTACGGTCGTTGGAGCAATAAAATACTGTGCGATGACCAGCCGATCCAAAATTACCCCCAACCTCTTTCTATTCACAGCTGCGATTGGTAGTTATAAAACACGATTGGCAGAGTTGGAGGAAAAGCTAAAAGGGCGCAAAATTCGCCCTTTTACAAGCCCTTTTTCCACCTTGTTTTGGTAATGGTGTTAAAGGGCGAAAAATGCGCCCTCGCACCGCGAAAGGGTTAATACAAGTAGTAGTAGAATCAAATGATTACTATTTTATTTAAAATACCTACTACTCTTAAAGTGCTACTCAGAAAGTATTTTATACTTGATAAAAAGGAGATTAGCCCTTCACATTTTATACATGAAATGCAGATATGGCGGTTTCGGATTCCGCACTCGAAGCCGCGCCATTCAAGAGATAAAGAGACGCCAGACAGGCGATGCGGGGTCTACTACGCACGCTGCTGCTGCTGGCTTCGGGCTCGCTGTGCTGGTCTCCGAAATTTGGCAATGGAGAGGCAGCCATGACGACTGAGCAAGTCCCGATGAAGCGGCGGCTACTTGACTCGACGGTCAAGAAGCCTTCACCGCGAGATCCATTCATGTTTGGTACGTTTATCGAAAAGTAAGGGCCAGGAAGAACTGACTGAAGTTAAACTCTTGGTGACTGCGCAGACAATCACATGGTTGGCGACGTGTCCGTTCGGAGCCACCCTGTGTACGGCTCGGCGTCGCTTTCTGTTAGGTCAGGGAAGATCTACAGAAATATTGACAGCGTGGGGAGCCTTGGAGCGGCCGTGGGGGCCATGAGCGTCCCTACCAGCAATGACCTCAGGTTGGTGCGGCGGAAATAGGAGGAAGGTGTTTAAGTGGTGGGTCTGATATATACGATGTGTTATTTATCTGGTCCCAGAGCGTTTGTGAACGTGGGAGACGTCGTGTTCTTGGGCCAATTGGATGCGCGAACTGTTGTAGGTGTGAGCAGTACCGCCATTTCTATTGATGAAGGCTTGCAGCATCGTTTGCAAGGTGGAGAGAGTATTGAAGTCCGAAAGAGAGTCTTCTCTACCATTGAGGACACGTCGCTGCAGACAGTAGTGAACTCGCGTGGCCTTCAGCTGAACTCGCACGATGACACGGTGGATGTGTCGACGGCACACAAGGTGATGCAGATTCGTCACTTCGCTGATGCAAGCTCGGCCACTGCTCGTTTGCTGCCTGGAAATGTATCTGTCAAGCACGGCAGTGATGTCGTAGAAACGCTAGTGGATCTGTCGAAGGAACTATCCGGAAGCATGTTTGTGCGTCTTGCAGGTGGCTCCTATCTGGTTGATCCTGTGCGTCCAGTAACATCGACGCAGTTTTTCATCGATCGCCCCTTTGCAGGCTCCTCTCACGATGACTTACCCATATCAGTGGACGGAATTGGCGCAGGTATTCTACTGGAAGTGCGAGGCACGAACGTTAGTACTGGTGCGAGTGTTGATGTTATCGCCACGAAGGTGGGGGAAGTCGTTGCAGCGGATGTTGTACTGTCAACAACAGCGAGCGGTCTGTCAGCAGGTCGGGTGAAGATAAACCAAAATGGTATTCAGTTCCTCGGAGACACAAGTGTCATATCATCCGAAGTAGCTTCTATCAGCCTCCAACCAGCGAAAGAATTGACGTTGGTTTCAGGCTCGCTCGACAACCAACCTGGTTCTATTGTAGCAATTCGCTCGGGGGCATCCAATTGGCAACGGGGAGGGAATATCAACGTGGAAACTGGGCAAAGCAAGCAAGGTGCTGAATCCGGGTCGCTACGATTTCATACGTCAGATGGTATTGCTACTCATGCCTCATCTGGGTCCGTTGAAGTCGGTTCTGGTGCCGGCAACGCTGGTCCTTCGGGGGCCATTACTCTTTCAAGCGGTGTGGCACATAATGGTGAATCAGGCCATATTCATCTTTCGACCGGATCAGCTGGTACGGCATGCTCAGGAGGTATTACTCTTGAGACTTCGCCATCAACGGGTGGAGGCGGCGGCTCGATTCTGGTTGCTGTCAGTAACGGAGATGTCGGGAAAGGAGGCTTCGTTCAGGTTTCAGCTGGCTCTACTGCTGACCAAGGATCGAGTGGGGGGCTTCTCCTACTGGATGCAGGTTCAGCTCCTCGTTTAGGTGGCGACATTAAAGTGGCAGCGGGTGCGAGCTCACTAGCTACCGGCACGGGTGGTGCTGTATCTGTAGCTGGCGGTGGCGCAACTACAGGGGGTGGCGTCAGCATTGCCGGAGGTGCTGGCACCGGCACGACTAGCACGGGTGGTGGCGTGTCTGTAGCAGGTGGCGGTGGGACGACAGGAGCTGACGTCACCATCCGTGGAGGAGCCAGCAGTAGTGCTACAAGCACAGGTGGTGCTGTTCGGATATCGAGTGGCGCCAATACTCTCGGTGGCAGCGCGCCTGTGGTGATCGAATCCGCTAGTGCGAAGGCAAATTACAGTAGCGGCAGTCTGGAGTTCGGAAGTGGCGCGACTACGGGGACCGGCAACAGTGGTAAGCTGAGTTTCTCGACAAGCACAGCTCCCGGTGGCACTGCAGGCAATTACGAGGTCACGGCTGGTGATTCGGGGCTCGAAGGAGGAAAAGGCGGCGAAATCCTACTCAAAGCCGGCACGAATGCCGCCAGCAGTGGCGTTGGTGGATCTATCGTTGCGGCGCTTGGTGCTGGATCGACCGACGCAACGCATGGAGCCTTCCGGGTGGAGTTCCCGAGCGGAATACCTCTACTGTCGCTGACGAAGAACTCGTTGACGGCGGACAATGTGAAGGCCATGAGTCTGAACTCGCAGGAGAAGATGGATTTGAACGCTGGTTGTATCAGCCTGTCTGTGGTAAGTGGTAGTGCGGATGTGGGTGGGGTCGTCAAAGTGACGGCGGGTGCGAGCTCACTAGCTACCGGCACGGGTGGTGCTGTATCTGTAGCTGGCGGCGGCGCAACTACAGGGGGTGGCGTCAGCGTTGCCGGAGGTGCTGGCACCGGCACGACTAGCACGGGTGGTGGCGTGTCTGTAGCAGGTGGCGGTGGGACAACAGGAGCTGACGTCACCATCCGCGGAGGAGCCAGCAGTAGTGCTACCAGCACAGGTGGTGCTGTTCGGATATCGAGTGGCGCCAATACTCTCGGTGGCAGCGCGCCTGTGGTGATCGAATCCGCTAGTGCGAAGGCAAATTACAGTAGCGGCAGTCTGGAGTTCGGAAGTGGCGCGACTACGGGGACCGGCAACAGTGGCAAGCTGAGTTTCTCGACAAGCACAGCTCCCGGTGGCACTGCAGGCAATTACGAGGTCACGGCTGGTGATTCGGGGCTCGAAGGAGGAAAAGGCGGCGAAATCCTACTCAAAGCCGGCACGAATGCCGCCAGCAGTGGCGTTGGTGGATCTATCGTTGCGGCGCTTGGTGCTGGATCGACCGACGCAACGCATGGAGCCTTCCGGGTGGAGTTCCCGAGCGGAACACCTCTACTGTCACTGACGAAGAACTCATTGACGCAGACAATGTGAAGGCCATGAGTCTGAACTCGCAGGAGAAGATGGATTTGAACACTGGTAGTATCAGCCTGTCTGTGGTAAGTGGTAGTGCGGATGTGGGTGGGGTCGTCAAAGTGACGGCGGGTGCGAGCTCACTAGCTACCGGCACGGGTGGTGCTGTATCTGTAGCTGGCGGCGGCGCAACTACAGGGGGTGGCGTCAGCGTTGCCGGAGGTGCTGGCACCGGCACGACTAGCACGGGTGGTGGCGTGTCTGTAGCAGGTGGCGGTGGGACAACAGGAGCTGACGTCACCATCCGTGGAGGAGGCAGCAGTAGTTCTACCGCAGGGGGTGGTGTCAGCATTGCCGGAGGTGCTGGCATCGGCACGACTAGCACGGGTGGTGGCGTGTCTGTAGCAGGTGGCGCTGGACGACAGGAGCTGACGTCACCATCCGTGGAGGAGCTAGCAGTAGTGCTACAAGCACAGGTGGTGCTGTTCGGATATCGAGTAGCGCCAATACTCTCGGTGGCAGCGCGCCTGTGGTGATCGAAATCGGCTAGTGCCAAGTCAACTTACAATAGCGGTGTCTGGAGTTCGGAAGTGGTCCGACTACAGACACCGGCAAGAGTGGCAAGCTGAGTATCTCGACAAGCACAGCTCCCGGTGGCACTGCAGGGAAGTTACGAGGTCAACGGCTGGTGATTCGGGGCTCGAAGGAGGAAAAGGCGGCGAAATCCTACTTAAAGCCGGCACGAATGCCGCCAGCAGTGGCGTTGGTGGATCTATCGTTGCGGCGCTTGGTGCTGGATCGACCGACGCAACGCATGGAGCCTTCCCGGTGGAGTTCCCGAGCGGAACACCTCTACTGTCCTGAGCCAGAAAATCAACTCGTTGACAGCATACAATGTGAAGGACATGAGTCTGAACTCGCAGGAGAAGATGGATTTGAACGCTGGTAGTATCAGCCTGTCTGTGGTAAGTGGTAGTGCGGATGTGGGTGGGGTCGTCAAAGTGACGGCGGGTGCGAGCTCACTAGCTACCGGCACGGGTGGTGCTGTATCTGTAGCTGGCGGCGGCGCAACTACAGGGGGTGGCGTCAGCGTTGCCGGAGGTGCTGGCACCGGCACGACTAGCACGGGTGGTGGCGTGTCTGTAGCAGGTGGCGGTGGGACAACAGGAGCTGACGTCACCATCCGTGGAGGAGCTAGCAGTAGTGCTACAAGCACAGGTGGTGCTGTTCGGATATCGAGTGGCGCCAATACTCTCGGTGGCAGCGCGCCTGTGGTGATCGAATCCGCTAGTGCGAAGGCAAATTACAGTAGCGGCAGTCTGGAGTTCGGAAGTGGCGCGACTACGGGGACCGGCAACAGTGGCAAGCTGAGTTTCTCGACAAGCACAGCTCCCGGTGGCACTGCAGGCAATTACGAGGTCACGGCTGGTGATTCGGGGCTCGAAGGAGGAAAAGGCGGCGAAATCCTACTTAAAGCCGGCACGAATGCCGCCAGCAGTGGCGTTGGCGGATCTATCGTTGCGGCGCTTGGTGCTGGATCGACCGACGCAACGCATGGAGCCTTCCGGGTGGAGTTCCCGAGCGGAATACCTCTACTGTCGCTGACGAAGAACTCGTTGACGGCGGACAATGTGAAGGCCATGAGTCTGAACTCGCAGGAGAAGATGGATTTGAACGCTGGTAGTATCAGCCTGTCTGTGGTAAGTGGTAGTGTGGATGTGGGTGGGGTCGTCAAAGTGACGGCGGGTGCGAGCTCACTAGCTACCGGCACGGGTGGTGCTGTATCTGTAGCTGGCGGCGGCGCAACTACAGGGGGTGGCGTCAGCGTTGCCGGAGGTGCTGGCACCGGCACGACTAGCACGGGTGGTGGCGTGTCTGTAGCAGGTGGCGGTGGGACAACAGGAGCTGACGTCACCATCCGTGGAGGAGGCAGCAGTAGTTCTACCGCAGGGGGTGGTGTCAGCATTGCCGGAGGTGCTGGCACCGGCACGACTAGCACGGGTGGTAGCGTGTCTGTAGCAGGTGGCGGTGGGACGACAGGAGCTGACGTCACCATCCGTGGAGGAGGCAGCAGTAGTTCTACCGCAGGGGGTGGTGTCAGCATTGCCGGAGGTGCTGGCACCGGCACGACTAGCACGGGTGGTAGCGTGTCTGTAGCAGGTGGCGGTGGGACGACAGGAGCTGACGTCACCATCCGTGGAGGAGGCAGCAGTAGTTCTACCGCAGGGGGTGGTGTCAGCATTGCCGGAGGTGCTGGCACCGGTACGACTAGCACGGGTGGTGGCGTGTCTGTAGCAGGTGGCGGCGGGACGACAGGAGCTGACGTCACCATCCGTGGAGGAGGCAGCAGTAGTTCTACCGCAGGGGGTGGTGTCAGCATTGCCGGAGGTGCTGGCACCGGTACGACTAGCACGGGTGGTGGCGTGTCTGTAGCAGGTGGCGGCGGGACGACAGGAGCTGACGTCACCATCCGTGGAGGAGCTAGCAGTAGGGCTACAAGCACAGGTGGTGCTGTTCGGATATCGAGTGGCGCCAATACTCTCGGTGGCAGCGCGCCTGTGGTGATCGAATCCGCTAGTGCGAAGGCAAATTACAGTAGCGGCAGTCTGGAGTTCGGAAGTGGCGCGACTACGGGGACCGGCAACAGTGGCAAGCTGAGTTTCTCGACAAGCACAGCTCCCGGTGGCACTGCAGGCAATTACGAGGTCACGGCTGGTGATTCGGGGCTCGAAGGAGGAAAAGGCGGCGAAATCCTACTTAAAGCCGGCACGAATGCCGCCAGCAGTGGCGTTGGTGGATCTATCGTTGCGGCGCTTGGTGCTGGATCGACCGACGCAACGCATGGAGCCTTCCGGGTGGAGTTCCCGAGCGGAACACCTCTACTGTCGCTGACGAAGAACTCGTTGACGGCAGACAATGTGAAGGCCATGAGTCTGAACTCGCAGGAGAAGATGGATTTGAACGCTGGTAGTATCAGCCTGTCTGTGGTAAGTGGTAGTGCGGATGTGGGTGGGGTCGTCAAAGTGACGGCGGGTGCGAGCTCACTAGCTACCGGCACGGGTGGTGCTGTATCTGTAGCTGGCGGCGGCGCAACTACAGGGGGTGGCGTCAGCGTTGCCGGAGGTGCTGGCACCGGCACGACTAGCACGGGTGGTGGCGTGTCTGTAGCAGGTGGCGGTGGGACGACAGGAGCTGACGTCACCATCCGTGGAGGAGCTAGCAGTAGTGCTACAAGCACAGGTGGTGCTGTTCGGATATCGAGTGGCGCCAATACTCTCGGTGGCAGCGCGCCTGTGGTGATCGAATCCGCTAGTGCGAAGGCAAATTACAGTAGCGGCAGTCTGGAGTTCGGAAGTGGCGCGACTACGGGGACCGGCAACAGTGGCAAGCTGAGTTTCTCGACAAGCACAGCTCCCGGTGGCACTGCAGGCAATTACGAGGTCACGGCTGGTGATTCGGGGCTCGAAGGAGGAAAAGGCGGCGAAATCCTACTCAAAGCCGGCACGAATGCCGCCAGCAGTGGCGTTGGTGGATCTATCGTTGCGGCGCTTGGTGCTGGATCGACCGACGCAACGCATGGAGCCTTCCGGGTGGAGTTCCCGAGCGGAACACCTCTACTGTCGCTGACGAAGAACTCGT